CCAAAAAAAAAAAAAAAAACCCTCAAGATAGTCAAAAGTAGGTGAAGCAGCAAATGCCTAAGACAAATTTTCTCAAAGGGACAGAAATCTTCTTATGAGATGGGAAATTATTCTAATTTGATAATTATGAATTTAAGGCAAGTGTGTCTTTGAGAGGAAAGTTAAAGTTAAGCAAACCAGGCTAAGAAACCTTTCCTTTCTTTCCCACCCCATCCCCAGGGGGCACAACTGCTGCTGGGGAAAGCACACCAGCCATTTCTCCACATCCCCCAGCAGCTCCAGGGCAGGACCCCTCGGCAGCAACAACCTCTGGCCTGTCTCCCTGAGGATCAGAGCAGGGTGGTGTACATGGAGGTGGAGTGGAAGGAACTCTATTGAGGAACAGCAAAGCCAGCCTCAGACGTCCCCCTGCCTGACTTATGCTGCCAAAACTTCCTTTGAAATGGATTCGGCCTTTTATTTCAGAGCTACAGGTTTACGAGGCAGATACGTCTATGGCTGCAATGCTGGAACTAAGGGATGTCCCGACCCCACTGCTTAAAGATACAGCTGGAACTTGGCAGGGACCATCCACCAAGTAGAGGGATAGTTCAGGTAGTGTAGCAAGATGGGCTAGCTCTTTTGCTTCAGTCACCAGGACTTGAGTTCAAAGTCCTTGAGTGCTTCTGACACTGTGAGACATCAGGTCAATTATATAACCTCTCTGGTGTGTCTTCCCATCAATGCAGTGAGAACCATGCCTCTTCTGAGCTATGAAAATTAAGTGGAAAATTCATGTCAACTGCTTTGCCTACGCCCGGCACGCTGTGATGACTGCTGTCACTGTTATTACTTACCTTTGACCTTTGCGTGGTATCTGACAGGTTGCAGAGCTCTTTTATGGATGCCATACCATTTGGTCCTGTAGGGTGGATGCTGGGAAGGTATCTTTCACCCCCACTGATAGATGAGGAAACAGGTCCAGAGAGGTCCTCAAGACCTCTGAGGCTAGTGGGTGGCAGAGCTGGGACTTGCCTGATTCCTGGTCTCAGTTGCTGTTCTTCTGTCCCACAACACCTCCTTCAGATACAAGGGCAGACCCAGCTCCCTTCCCACCTTGTTGGAAGGAGCCTGCAGGGAGCACAGAGCATGGAGGGCCTGAAGGAAAGGGAGAGATGCTGGTGTCTGTGGGGTGTCCTGTGTACTGTGTGCTGTACCAGGCTCTTTGTTTTTTTCTGTGTTGGAGTCTTACTCTGTGGCCCAGGCTGGAGTGTAGTGGCATGTTCATGGCCACCACAGCCTTGACCTGCTGGACTCAGGTGATCCTTCCGCCTCAGCCTTACAAGTAGCTAGAACTACAGGTATGCGCCGCCATGCCCGGCTAATTTTTTTTTCTGATTTATTATGGAGATAAGATCTCACCAAGTTGTCCGGGCTGGTCTCAAACTCATGGACTCAGGCAATCCTCTCACCTTGGCCTCCCAAAGTGCTGGAATTATAGGTGTGAGCCACTGTGCCCGGCCATGCCAGGCTCTTTATTGCCACTGCCTCCTTAATCCTCACAACCACCATGGGATTTAGGAATTGTGTTCCCATTTTATAGATGAGGAAACTGAGACTCAAAGAAGTTAAGTGACTTTGCCAAGGACACACCGCCAGTCCTACATGGAGAAAGGCTCACACTTTAGGGAGCAGTTAGCACTGAGAGGGGTCCACGAAGAATGGCAGACTAGCCCTCCAACATCCCAGTGAGGCCCAAAACTGGCCCTTGTATGTCGTGCCCTTGAGTCCAGATCCCGCTGGTTCTGGGACTGGTTTTCAACAGCAGGACCTTGAGTCTAGGCCAAGATTGAGTCCATCTCCCCCGCCCCACCCCCAAGACGGCAAGGCTCATGAGGAATGACCTTCAGTTCCAGGCTCTGGCCTTACATCCACCCTGTCCCTGAAGGTCAAGTTGTGGGTGGGGAGCTGTACTGAACTGGGCACAGAACCAGTGTCCAAGTCCCTGACCCTGGGGCCAGTGTCTGGTGGTCTCAGGAGGCTGGACTGCGTGAGTTTTGAAGTCAAGCAGTTCTAACATTCTGGCTCAGCTGCTTGTCGCCCGTGTGGCCTGGACAAGTGACCTGGCTTCTCTCCCACTTAGCGTCACTGTCTGTAGAGTGGGGGTGCCAATGCCACCTAACACTTAAGGTTACCATGAGTAATGACTTGTGTGGGACTGTTCAGAGTGCTTAGCATGGGCCCTGGCACCTAGGAAGTGCTCAGCAAAGCACAGCTGCCCTTCTTGGTAGTGTCAGGTGAGTCCTGACCCAGACTTCTTGCAAATAAGCTGTGTGACTGCAGAGGCCACCCAGCTTCTCAGGACCTTGGCTTGTCACCTCCAAAGTGTGAACTAATTCAGTCTGTTAGTGGGGATGCTCTAAGGATTAATTGGGTGATCAAAGGAAAGAGTCATTATTGCTTGTCTTATTTCTTAGAGAAGCACTGGTGTGGGCCCAGTCATCAGGAAGGAGATATAGAGAATAACTATGACGTGCTAAGTATTTGCCTTCTATTATTTCATTTAACTCTCATGGTAAACCCTTGGAGTGGGATGTATGTGCCCGTTTTACAGATGAGACTCACAAATACAAAGGAAATGTGTTCCCTAGGAAGTGGCAGAGCTGAGATTCAAACCCAGTGCTGTGGGGTCTTGAAGCCTGCGTTCTTTTTCCAATGACTCAGATTCTCCATGGAGAGGCCCCAGGACGGTGCTGCTCAGGAGGAGAGTGGCTGAAAAGTGAGGTTCACCAGCTTCCTTTTCCAAGGACCACTCAGCTGAGCTCTCCAGGCCAGGCAAGCCAAGCCCCAGCCCAGGCCTAATGAACATAGCAGCTGGGGTCAACCCATGTCATACTGACCAGAGCTTCC